GAATGTAGAGCTAATTAAATGATCTAAACAAGACTTTAAAGTGGTTCCAGTTTCTCTCGATGGCCAACCTGTTGAAACTGTGGCACATTTTAAATACCACCCTAAGTGGGGTCTAATTTTTACTATGGGGACTGCAAGGTCCACTCTTTGCTGCAGTTGTTTAAAAGTGAGTTTGGAGATCTTACCTCCTTTGCAATCCTGCTTGTTATTCATGGTGACAAGATAAAGAGGGATTTTCATCCAGCACAGTGAAAAGTACCTAAACTAGACAGCTGTGTCAGATTATTATGAGTTACTAATTAACTTTAAAAAGGTAATTATATATTTAAAAAAAACAAAAACATAATAGTTACTTTTATTTTACAGGAATTAGAGGTTCCATCAAGTATGCCACGTTTGACTTAGTTAAAAAAAAAAATAATTTCTTACGGTAATTTGGGTTCGTACTCATCTTTACAAAAGGACGCAAACAAATGTGTTTACATCCATGCTGTCTGCTTTATTTAGAGCTGATTCATCTGGGTCCGAAACAGGTTGGGTTAAATCCTGTTTGACGCTCTTTGAAGAGGACTGAGTTTTTTTGCTTTAAACCTTCTCTTCAAGTGTCAGATCTCTGTAGTTTGGGACTCTCAGAAGGTTCTAAATTACTCCTACTTTGTCAGTAAAGATACCCGGAGAATAGACTCCAGATCTGACATTTCAAATACCAACTGATCTGCAAATTTTGAATCCGTGCCTTTTGATGTCTGTTGTCTGTCGTCAGCTTTCATGTTTGTTTTGGAGCCGCTCCCCAGGCCTTCATTGGAAAGAAAACAGGCCTTCATTGAAAAGAGGGGAAAAAAAAAACAGATTTCCCTGGTGAAATGTTATGTAGAATAAACAGTTATGTTTTGCTAACAGACCTCTGTTCAGATATATTTTGTCACACATTTATACAGCTCTTGTTTTCTTCATCAGCAGTGGCATGGGAACCCGGGACAAGCCTCTCTACCTCACTTGAAGTTATATGACCTCCACATGTCAGACTCCAGAGAGCTTTCTAACATAACAACAGCATCATTGATGTATCTGCTTTTTATTCATTTTGTTTTTTTCTTTCTTCTTCTTCTTCTTCTTTTTCTTCTGATGGATTTTGAAAATCCCAAAGACTGCTACAGTACCACCTTTTTGCCAAGCACTTAATCGGCCACAAGCCCAAGGCACTTCCTTTGCTTTCTTTTTTTTTCCCCCTCTCCTGGTCTGCGAACATTGTTTTTGGAGGTGGCAGTGAGCTTAAAGCTCATGCCGGCATACTGGAAATGAGGGCCAAAAATGTCCTCTCGTCTCGTTTTGATTTTTTTTTTATTTTTTTTTTTGCAAAATCGCTTTCCTTTTCTCTCACTTTCTCTATGTTTGCCATGAACTATCCTTATTAGGAAGATGAAATGCTTAAAGCATACTCAAAGGTAGAAAATGTAACGCAGGAAAATAGAATATAGTTGCTTCATGAGGGGTGGACGTACTTCAGGACTTTCTGAAACACCCCCGGATGAAGGAAAAGCAACATTTTAATGAAGGTGTCGTCGAGAATACATAAGCCGTTTGTAAATCATTGCTCCGCTTACTAAAGGACTTTATTTCCTTTGTCACAGAGTGATTGTAAATATCACCAAAATGGAACCCTCTGTGTATTGAGCTGCCCTCTGCCATTTTTTTTTTTTTTTTCTTAGAAAAAAAAAAAACCTCTCTTGTTTGGTTACGTGATTTTTCTGTGCGGGTGGATTCAGTGAGGGGCCACACACATTAGAGCTCAAGTCGACGCTGTGTTCATGTCTCTCCAAAAAAATGTAAAAGCAGGAAATGCGAAGGCTGAAAACTGTTTGTTGTCTTCGTCGGCCGAGCGGAACTCCTTTAGAGGACGTCACTCTGCTTGCACGGCCTCAGGACGTTACAGGGGGTTAACGATTAAACCAATCCCCTTCTAGCTCCTCCTACTCTTGTCAATAAGGTCCGCCTCCTTTGCCTATAGCCCCGCCTTCCATCCTTTTAGTCTCACATCACTTGTACAGGTGAAGTAAAAAAGAAAAAAAAAATATGTTGCTAAATGTGAAATGTTACTAAAGAAAAAAAAACATAACAGTGGGTTTTCAAGTTTTTGACTAGTTTCCTTAGGTGTTTTAGAATTGTGTTAAACTTTTCCATCTTTCTCTTTTCTTTGTTTTTGTTTTTGTTTTTGTTTTTTTTGTTGTTGTTTTTTTTTGTGTGTGTGTGTGTGTGTGTGTGTGTGTGGAAAATGTTTTCAAGATATCTCATTTTAATTTTCACTGTAGCAGGATTTGCTTTTCAGGTCATCGGGGGTAGATATTTTAATTTTTGTGTACAAACCTGCCAAACGTATTTCTTTAATTTGTAAAGCCAGTGACGAAAGAGCCCCATTTTGTTCTGTCGGATACCATAATGTTTTATAATTTGGTCATTTTATTTAATTCTTTGCAGGTTTTACATGTATTTATGGACAATATGAAGTAACATTTTGGCTTATTTTGCATCAGTGTGCATTATATTATTATTATTATTATTATTATTATTATTATTATTATTATTAACGAACCAACAACTTTATTTTTAGAATAATAAATATTTTCTGAATTTGTCATTGGTACACTTCTCACATACATGTACCAATATTAGCTTCATTTTTGTGTCACAAATACTTCTTTTTTTTGTTTTCCTTTGTCTGTAATAAAATGTTTAAAGTGGAAAAGTGGATTTTCATGTTTCCTCTTATTTTCATAATCTCGCATTATTGCATCTTAAAAAAATTCATTTGTTCTTATGGCAAGCAGTCGGAGATATGCAGTCGCCTGTGAACATCGTTTTGCCCACAACCCGACACCCCCCACCCCCCCGGGGCTCCTCTCCATGCGTGTACCCGAGGTTAATTAGGAGGATTATCTTTGATGTTGCAGAAGTTACTGTAGCTGCTGTCACATGGCTCATTAGCTGCAGTTTTTAGGCTTTACTTAATGCACTTTGACCTTTTTAATGTCTTGTTTATCTTTTTTTCCCTTTAATTCTGGACAGATTGATTTTTTTTTTACTCTACATGCAGCATAGATCAATATAGTTCTAACAGGTCATATATATTCTACCAGGTGACCATGTTTTTTTTTCTTCTTCTTCTTCTGCTAAAGGTGTGATGATGAAACTCTGGGTTACTGATGCAGTACACAGCCTTACAGAGTACTTTGGTAGAAAAAAAAAAAGCAGCTGCCTTTTAGTTTTGAATTTCACAGTTGGATTAAAGGTAGAATAGAAATGGAATCTATCATCCCTACCCCCCTCAAAACATGCACCACCTTCTTCCCCGCTGAATATACGTTTACGCCGAGGACGACGACGACGATGCAGTGCCCCCCAGAGGTGATTTATAGACAGTTTCATAGAGGGAGTTTTGCATGCCAGAAAGGAAAATTAAAATGATAAATTTGTATGTATTTTATTTGAATGCTCTGTAATGCTAAGGCCAAACTGAATGGAGTGTAAGGAAAAGAACAAATGGTTTTAAAAGGCTTTTGCCAATGAGAAAACCACATTTTGCTGCTGAAAATAATTTAAGCCATGTCTCAAGCAGCTTTTCAAACCCACTGCTTTGATATTGATCATTCCTTAGCTCTGTACAGTTAGCCAGTTGTCTTGCAAATAGGTAAACATCTGTTTAGCCGGTTATCCTGCAAGAAACATTTTTCCTACATCTGTCCTTATCTGAGCTTCTTACACATTTGCTGTTTGTTGGCTTGTGGTCGAACTGCAAAGCAGCCTTTAATGGCTTTCTTTTAACAATGACGTTATGTCTTCTCCATCATTCATAATGGCCAGATTTGTAGAATGCAAAGCAGATAAATATCCTTTCGACACAGTCTCCTACCAGAGCTGTCAATATCTGCTGATCCTCCAGAGAAACCTGAGGTTCTCGTTTGATTTGCTAATTATTACTTGCCTTCCCTGGTCCATCAGTTTAGATTTCTGACCATTTCTTGGTAGGTCTGCACTGAAAACGCACAATATTTTGAATTGCACTTGTCTTCATATCAACATTTGTGTTATAGGGTATCCCTTTATGTTAAGGAATATAAATTGACCATGAACTTACCACCAATGAATATACATTTTAGTGGAATATCAACTTTTAATTAGTCATCATCGGATATTTTCTAATAACTTATTACTGCTGACCCAATTGAGTTTTTATTAAAGTAGTCCACTAATAATGGTTTGGAAATTGTAAGTGAAAAAGGTTGCTCCTTTGATCAATATGTAGCATGAATAAGAATTTTTCATGCTACATGTTTTTTCAGCTTTCATAAAGTGTTACTAAGATAAAGTGCTACCCAGCAAACAGCAGCCACGAACGAGTGTTTGGATGAAATGTTTGGTAGGATATTAGTGTTTCAAGTGCATTGCATGCAAAATCTACATTCCGATCATATATTTGGCGTGTTGGGTGGATTTTATATGCCCTTTATGGCCTTAATGAATGTGTATTTTTATTGGGTGAACCTAATCTGTCTTACACTGTTGTGGAACAAAAAGTTATTTCACTGCGTGATCCGATATCCCAATGTTATATTGAACTGAATTATGTAAAACCTATTTAGGGTGTAAATGTGTAGCAATGAGTGAGAAGACAGGGTCACTGTGTAGCCTGCCCATATTAATTTGACTCTATCGCCATCTGCTGGTAAAGTTAAATGATTACAACAATTACAGTATGACCATTTTCTTGCCCAAAACTAATACACCAAACTAATTTTAGTGTTTTACCAAAGTCGGAAAAGCAAAAATGCTTCTTTTTTTAATTTACATTAAATGTTTGAGGGGTTTTTTTTTATGTTAATTTGTTAAGCATTACTTTGCATGGTTATGAACAATGTTTGCTACATTGCGTGTTAACAATATTATTAGTGTCTGAAACAGATAGGAAGCTTTCTTGTAACTTAAAGGGTAATCTCACACAGACACAGATGTTATGGCATCCTAATCTGAGCAATCCTAACTTCAACTACTTTCTTTTGCAAAGATTGAATCCCAATATGATTAAATAGTAACTACACTGTATATTTTATAAAGGTGTTACAAATAATATATAAAATGTTACTTTCCTTAGCTTTCCTACTCTAAATATATCACCCCAGTCAAACAATATTATTTTTCCTTTTTGTTTTTTGTTTTCGTTTTTGTCTATCCAATCTCCCGTTGCTAATATTGCTTCCACCAGCTCTGATACTGTTTCCATCTGCAGCCTTCAGAGGCTTTCATTTCCTCCTCAGACAGATATGAACTCCCCAGACGGCCCAGGTTTCAGTGGCTCCATTGTCAGAAAGCCAACAGGCACAACAAGACAAACAGGAAAAAGATGGGCTTTTCATCGAGATCACTACCCAACCACTTGATGGCTCGGCAGATAACAACACTGAACCGCATTTTGAGAAAATTGCCCCGTGATATCCTCATTTGGATCAAAGCTGCTCTTGTGTTAGGAGGTAGCCTGCTCTGTCTGAAACGGCAGACTGCAGTGAGTAAGCAGCCGACCTTTTGTTCACCGACGCTAGCATGTCTGAGTTCTGCATTTATTCACGCAGCACAGTATTTTTCTGGAAGGAGAGCTGTTAAATCTTCATCGTTTTGTTATACAGAACACAAGCAATTCCAACATTGAAGAAAATACTTTTATTGTTACATGTACCTGCCATGGTCACCAAGATACAACAGATATAATAGGTACTCTCACTTTTAAGATTAAAAATACACATTTTCTTTTTTTTTTTTCATGACATTTTACCTGGCAAATGTGATTACATAATATAGTAATGTTTTACACATATACAGTACTTTGTGCACAATATAAAATATATGATGAGGCTTACAGAACACATCCATCATCATGTGAGGACGATCGAAAATGAGGGAATCCATATTCAACCTCTGTGCTATTTATTGGTGCGCTCATTACTGTTATGGATGTGGCAGAATAATGAGTGTGAAATATTTTTATGTACTATAATAATTATATTATGTCTGGTGATTGTATTTTTAAAAAATAAAAAAAAATTAATTATGGTACTATTACAACAAAAAAGATGAGTAGAGAATAAAGGAAATTCTCAAGAAATTCAAAGACTTACTGGAATAAAAACGCTGGTAAAATGGAACACATTTCCCTGTTTTTCGTTCCTTCAGCCATCATGTATTGAATGAATTATCAGAATTCAGTGAAAACTTTTAAAACTTTTTTTTTTTTTCTTTATGCAGGACTCAGTTTTTCCTGCTTCGGGGAATGCTCTCTCTCTCTCTGGGTTTTTGTGGGGGCTGCGTCTCTGGCTTCATTAAACATTCAGTTTGGTCTGAGAGTGTCACAAAAAATCTGAAATATCAGCATTGACAAGGCTGGCACAAACGACAAAAACGTCCAATGCGAACACTAACACAAACACTGCAGGGCTATCTGGTCCATCCTTTCTGCTACTAGTGCTTTACAACAACAGAAGCTGGTTTCTCTGTAATCTTTTCATGATTACATTGGAGGCGTAGAAATCATAGAAAATCATTAAAAAAACAGACTACCCTGATAGAAGCTCTCCTACTACACAATAAATTGCAAATCTTGTTTTTTTGTGTGTGTCTAGAAACTGTGCTTGAAAATAAGTTACTGAGTCATTGTAGGAATGATTGCAAAATGCTGTTTCGGTCAAAAGCTGCTTAACATAAATGTTAATATGGGTGAAATGCTGTGCTGCTAGTAGGCCTCTTTAAATAGTGACATCATACAGTGGCTCTGAAAAGTGCAAGCAGCTCTGCTAAAATTCAATTTTTTTATATATATTTAATGTAAAATATCCTGCAGAGCTCAACTGGAAAACACAAAAGGAAATAAAGCTACAATAACCCGGTTGCCCAAGAGTAAACAACCCCAAACTAAGACTTTGTTGAAGAACCTTTACACTCAACTTTCAGTCTTCTCGAGTTTTCACCTTTTATCAACTCTAGTGAATCTACATTTAAGTTCAGTTGCCCCATTTTGTTTGCTTTCCGTGACATTTTTCCATTTGCTCATTTCATCCTCTAGCTTCAGCTTCAGTTTGTAAAGCGGCGGCAAAGAATCGACTCACTTATCTCAATGCGTTTGTCAGGAATACAAACATTAATTAATTAAGATTTGTTCGTTTTCCAGTTGAGTTGCACAGGATAAATATCACATTAAAGACGCTAAAATTATGAAGCTGCTGTATTAGGATCTCATTGCAGAAAATAATGGACATTTCATAGGGGTGTGTGGTAAAGCTGCATAATATATTGAGTCCCGGTTGTTATCAAAGTATCAATATGTGCAATAGTGCAACTTCAGAATGTTGTTTTGATGCAATGATGGATGGTCCAAGTGAGTAGGATTAAAACACTGCTCACCAATAACCTATCTGGACATTTTGACAGACTGTTGCTGTCTTTTACCCACACATCCTCTGTTGAAGCTCAGAGAGAGTGGGGAAACATGGCGATGACGGAAAAGAAAGAAAATAGGGGTAATCTAGCAATTGCATTCGATATTATCAATGCAATATTCAACTGTAATATTGAAAAGCTCTGTTTTCCTATTATTGTGCAGCCCTTGCAGACCTCTGAGAGCCACTGTACGCTAGCAGCATGTTAGATACAGAAATACAACCGTCTCTACTGCTGAACCCTCAGTTTTACCTCACACGTCTTCACTTTTTGAAGACGTGTAAACTACTCAGTACTAGCTAAAGTTTTATCATTGATGGCAGACAAAGTTAAAACAATCAAACCCGTCTTCTGTTTTTCTTTTCATTTTCTCGTCGGTGGACAGTAAACCTGCAAGCCAGCAGATTTACAGCATTTTCTTATACTGTGTTTGCAGCATAACCATATATCCACTGCCGCTATTCACATTTTTAGGAGAAAGCATGTCCCAGCATTACACGTCACAAGACTGTCAAAACCTTTCAGAGTAAAAGCTGCAGGAACGAATCTGAAATGCGGCTTGAGACGTGACCAGCAGGCATTTTGAACTGCCTGCAGGAGTCACAAAATATGCTTTTACATGTTGCACACAAGGGCACTCCACAAGGCCTCGTTGTAAATGTGTAGTTTTTGTTTTCACTTTAGCTTCAGCTTGTAAAGTACATTTGAAAAAGAATGTGCTCAAAATGAACGTAAACATTTGAAGACTGTTGCTCGGTTTGCCGGGCGTTACTCAGCCTCCTCGTGTTTCTCCTTCTCCTCAGGAACCGACATGAAGATCTTCTGACAGAACATTGTGAAGATTTCTGTGACAAAAAAACAACCTGTCGTATTACACATATTGCTTAGCCACAATTCTGAAAATAAAGAAAGCATTGCCTCACACCATTGCTTCACATTGGGCAAAACAATAAAGCAGAACAGCGGGTACAGGTATGCTCAGTTTCATAACAAACTGCAGGAGAAACCTCTTTAGCCCGGTCTGGACAAAAACAACGGCATCATTTTAAAAAAAGCAAACCTAGAACTTCACCTACCCAGCATCTTCTTGATCATATGGGGTTTCTTCCACTTGTAGCCGAGCAGATACGCAGGAATGCCCGTGAGAATGATGCTGCTGCCCACCAGGCTCTCGAACGGAGCCGCCCAGAACGACACGACGATCATGAAAACGCAGCCCAAAACAAACGTCACCGGGATGAAAAGATACACCTGGAGAGGGAAAATGAATGAAAAAGCTGTTAATTGTACAAATACGGGAAGGTGTCAGGTAGAAGATTGACTTAATACGCAACAACAGATTTGGCTGAAACCAACGATGGCAAGAAAACTTTACACCTTCACCCTTTTAGTTCTGTTATTTCTTCCTAATACCAGACCTTAAGATTTATAAATAATAATTTACACAACCAATTAATGTGATATTAAATAATATAATATTGATTGTCTTATTTAATGTATATTCATCTTTTTCTAAAATGTATGGTATTTTAGAAAAGATTAACTGAGATGTCAAGAACCGAGGCGTTCTGAACCAAAACACACACACACACACACACACACACACACACACACACACACACACACACACACACACACACACACACACACACACACACACAAAAAAGCAACTTAAAGTCTTGTTTCATAATTAGCTTAGAAATAAAGCTGGGATCCCTGTTTATTTCCTGTGTGTAGATTACTTTGTAGAACAAATGGGCTGAGATCACTCGGCCTCAAACGAAAGATAAAAGGCGACTGTCAAGGTTATATTCCCACGATAAGAGGGCAACAAAGAACGGCGCATTCATTCGGTTGCCACGCCCGCCTGTCGTGGAAACACAGCGTGGTTCCACTTCCGACTCACAACAGGAGCAGGGATACAATGGTGCTTTCGCTGAAAATAAAACAAAAATAGTCCAGCCCCTGTTTAACCTGCCGACATGTTGATGTTTTTGAGAAGACAAAAGAATCTGGCTGAGATTCAAGTGGGCTCATGGTCTTTTATTTGGATTTAACCCCCCCCCCCCCCCCCCCAAAAAAAAGGTGACCAGTTTAAATCAAAGTTGTTCAGGCTGTACCTTAATAGGCCTTCTCAGATCGGGCTTGGTGATGCGCAGCCACACCAGGCCGGCGATCGCCATGCCGACGCACAGCCAGGTGAAGAAGCTGAAGAGATTAATGACTGAGAAGATGTCCTGGGAGATGGTGTACATCATGGACAGGAGGCACTGTTGCAAAGTACAAAAATCACAGCACCGGTTGTTCTCTTTGACATGAATATAAACTTGGCACAAAAAGTAAAGAAACATGCGCTTAGCAGATTTTGATGCTGGTTGGTAATAAATCCCAACCTACCACACATTTTCTTTTCACATTTTGTTTCAAACGTCCACTTATCTAGACTTTGGTATTTTCTGGGATTTGCTAAAACTGAAGTGTGGTACAGGGCATTTTATTGCTATTTAGGTACGAACTAATATTTCAAATAGTAAAGGAAGATTTTTAAAGTAGAGAATATGAAGACATGGACCTTTAAAAATAGCAGTTTTAATCATTCACATCAACCAGACCCTGCTTCAGAACCACAGGTTCCATTTTCCGGTATCCACAAAAGTCCTGAATTTAACTTTGTTTTTATCTTTGAATGATCCTGCATTTAATAGCTCTCAACAAAATAACTTTTTGATAATCACAGTATGAAGCCCACATCAAAGCATGTGATTTAATACAATTTAATATAAAATACAAACAATTTATCAAGAATTTTTGGAATAATGCTCTTTTAAGAAAAAAGTTTTTTTTAAAAAGTCTGAAGTTTTCATTACAGAAAAAATTAAATAATATCCAATTCCGTACTTTTGCAGACTTCTCAAGAATGAAGAGACCCTTAAGAATGTTGTACAAGTAGAAAGCCTGTTTATTTCTTTAAGTGATGCCTCGATTGTGGGTTGTGGTTAAGGGCTGGGTCTGTGGGTTGCACCCATGAAAAACTTGCCAAACCCTTTCCACCAGGGGTGCCCAAGTCCAGTCCTGGAGAGCTACCATCCTGCAAGTTTCAGATGCATCCCTGCTTCAACACACCTGAATCAAATGAATGGCTCGTTATCAGGCCTCTGTAGAGCTGATCCCGGTCTGTTGGAGTAAGGATACTTCTAAAACTGGCAGGATGGTGGCTCGCGAGGACTGGACTTGGGCACCCCTGATCTCCACCATACCAAACTGTTTTAGCTGGAGGCAGTGTGATGCCGTTTGCGCCAAATAGCATACAGACTCAAGCAGGAGTAAGTAGTTGGCCTTTCTATCAGTGTTTAAGTTGCTGAACAAATCTGAAATGTAAAAAGAAAAAAATAACATCAACAAAGGATGGAAAAAGAGTTGGAGCCAGTTCAGCCTTACTGTAAAGATTAGTGATGGCACAGGTGTAAACAAGTCTGTATGAACCAGTCCCAGAGCAGCAGGGAGTTGACCTTCTCTGGCTCCAGCGTAGAACAGCCTGGTTGGGAAACAGGCAGTTATTTTCCACTGAAGCAGATAACATTTCCATTTCCACCCCCAGGTCTAAGGAACAAAAAAAAAAAAAAAAAAACACATGTAAATGTTGTGGTTTAGTCACCGTGCTGATGTAAATAGAGATCCATTGACGGCTCCGAAGCAGGAGAGTCCCACAAAGACAGGAATCAACCAGGCCATCACGCCAAGGTGGTACTCTCCAAAGCTCTGCATCAGCCCACGAGGACAAAGACACATACAGAGGTGAAAGTTTTGTTGTAGATTGTGTGAAAACTAAAGACACACATGTTGTCATGAACTGAAGGGAATCACACTTACCACAGCAACCGCCTCAGACTCAACCATGACTTCAGGAGAGATGGTGGTGAAGTAAGCCAGGTTGGTCAGAACGTACACCACTGTGACTATCGGCATTGATATGATAATGGCTAAGGGCAGATTTCTGTGGGGAGAGACCAATAATCATTAAACAACAATACAGCAAAACCAGCATTTTTGTAACAGGAAAGATTTCTTCACTTCATAGAGTAAATGTGGCGTTCGATTTCATGCGATCCGATATTTTTATTTCCACTCAGCTTTCATGTGTCATTGTACTCTATCCGCCATGCAGTCATCTGACGGTAGACAAGCGTGTTCATAGATGGGGGCAGTCATGCCATTGCTGTAATATTCACACAAGACTCGGTAAAATACTGAAATCAACCTGCATCACTTTTAAGTCACCTCTCTGGATTGATCATCTCCTCAGTAACATAGTTCAGGTAGTTCCTGTGGGGAAACAAAAACAATTGGGTTAAGGTGTTTTAATGAGCAAGTAAAAAATTAATGATAAACAGACATTTCAAAGTCTCACCAGCCACCAAAAGCAAAGAGGCCGCTGTACAACGCCAACACAATGTTGTCCACTCCCATTTTACTGCCTTCAAAAGCCTTTTCTGGTGTCAAATACGGCACATCACCTGTGTCCACACACAAAAAGTTATATGAGGAACGACTAAAACAGAAACTCTGTGTTGTTTATTGACAAATGTGGAGCTAGAAATCAGAAATAATGGCTTGGGCTCCCCTTGTGGTGGCAGAGGGACAAAGCAACCACAGAAACAGCAGCAAATACATTTCTGAAAGGGGTATATGCTGACAAAACTTTTAAAAAAAGAAAAAAAATGAAATTAACATTGACACTTGTTTCTGGTTTGTTCAACAATTAGTACTGCAGCACAACCAGTCAGTAGGGTGAGGAAGAAATGCAGCTTTTTTAAAATCTCTAACAAACCATTTCCTTAAAAGATGTGGGGTTGATTATTAGCCGATAATTGATTTTTTTGCCATGTGTGGCATATACACGTAGTGTGTGTGTGTGCATGTGTGTGTATGTGCGTGCGTGTGTTTACAAGTTTTCCTGAAGACAGAGCTTTATTACTAGTGATTATTTGACCATAAGTGCCTGTAATGAAGGTCTTCATTACTTGGCGGCACAACACTTGAAATGTGTTAAATGATAAAAGAAATGCATGATGAATGAAATTAAACGGATACAAACAGATTGAAATGTTTTATTGATTGTGTGTTTTATCCAGTTGCATCTCAGCTGGAACTGATGGTGTCCTGTTAAAATACAAACAAAAGGATAATATAAGTTTTGTGATTGTTTGAAGGCTTTGTGTGGGTGTGGCTTACCTCTGTCTCTTCCTCTGCAGGGTGTTCAGGCTAAAAGATTCCCTGGGGCCTGAGCACCTTTTAAAGGTTCCAGAAGAGACCAAAGCAGATGAAAGAAGGGGAGCAGTAGAGCAAGGCATTTTATAAATTTAATGTTGGATTTATATTTATATTCATAAAAATGTTTTAGAGATGCTTAAAATTAATAGTATTTGGAAATATATGTTATTCTGAGGATTTAGTTAGTTTGTCAAACTTTGTGTGTATGTATTTTGTTCTACCCTGTTTTTTGGTGGGTTTGTGAATTGGAACAGCCAGCGACTATAAAAGGCTGCATGCTGGCCAATGTGTGTTTCTGCTAAGACCCTAGGCCACTGTAAGCAGGGTTGTTTGTCTGTTAAATGTTGGTGAATAAACACCCAGTGGGTTTGCACAGTTTCTCTGCCTCAAGTCTCCTACTCCCTCCAGCCGCTAAGGGCCATCCTAACAGTGCCTTTGCTTCTCATATACAGCTAACAGAATCTCAAGGTTAGGAAAAAAAACTGAGGCAATTGCTGTTGCTGAGAAACACAAGCATGGGAGTTATTTTAAGCTGGCATTATTAACTGAATCATACCTCAAGATATAGTTTGCTCACATCACTTCACTGTCCTGGTTAGATATTCTCTTACACTCCTGATACTTTTTAATTTCTTCCACCAACACCAGCCTGTTGGTAGACTGCCTGTTGACAACCTGATATTTTCAGCCAGCATCTCCTTAGATGTGGGGGAAGCGAAGGGAACTTCAGTTCAGGTGACATTTAAATGCCAGGAGAATTATAAATATGATAAATAAACTTTAGTCTGTGAAGGAAAAGCATACATTTATTGCATCAGTGTAGCGCTATTAGAATGTGAGTTTGTATTCTCACTGGGCGTGACTCCACTCTACCTGGTGCTTTCACATGTTAATAACTTTCTCTTAAGAGCCTTAAGCCCATATTATTTGCCCCTTCAGTCCTTCTGTCATGTACTGAACAGTGTAGGCTTTTCCACCTCGTTACTATGGTAACTCACTGAGGGGGTGGGGGTCAGGGGAAGAAGGGGAAACAATGGCACTGGGTGTGGCCTTCCAAAAGGAGGGAAAGAAGCAGATGTCACATTCTGTTCCCGCGTGTCCTTTTCATTTTTATTTATTTATTTTTTTTGCTACATCATTTCTGGGTAACACACAATGCATCATGGAGCTTGCATGAAATTATGCTCAAAAGCCAGTGATTGTCTCTGTATAAAAGAAAAAATCCTAAAATATCTTCTAACGTATCCTTTATCAAATAAACGCTGTGCAGATGAGAAAAGTATGGCAGTGATTTACGGCCATGTGCGGCCTGGAGACCCGCACACAGACACACGCGCACATGGCTGCACAGCCAGACTCAATCAGCCGGCTGCAGACAGACGGGCCCTGTGTTCAGGCTCAGCAACTGTGCTGACAAACTGAAAGGACAGCAGCCTGCTTCATTAGGTTCATTAACATGCATCAACAATTTGTTCATGATTAGAGACAAAAGAAAAATGCCTCATGCTGCACATGTAAATATCACGGTTAAAATCTGAGCAACGAACATAAATATATATATATATATATATATATATATATATATATATATATATATATATATATATATATATATATATTTTTTCTTTTTAAAAAAATACACTACTCCAGATACTATCAACACCTATGTACTGAGAAGCACATAATTATTCATGCACCTGGAATATTTAGATTTTAAATACTTTTAATCCAACCAAGAAGTTTGTTTCTGGTTAGAAATGAAACAGACGTCTTTCTAAAGATAATAAATCACAATAAAATATGAATACCCAATTTAATTATCATTAGAAGAGTATTGCTTCCAATCACAGCGATTAAACCCTCCTCATTATCACTGAGCATACTTTTCCATGTCTCCAAATGTATTTGGATGATTTAACTCTTTCCAGAGGCTCTCTGACTGGAACACTTCAAAACATTAATGTTACTTTCAGACAGAATAAAGACGTCGTTACAGATTAAAGAATTACTTCAAGCCTTAATCGAATGGTTGACCTATTTAGATAAAAATATGTGTTTGATTGAATTTTTTTTTTTGTTGTTGTTAGCTATAGGCAACTCCAATGCAAAAATAATAACTTGCTCAATTAAGATCCAGTAAGTTATTCACAATTATCCACTGATATTAACAAGTTAATTTATAATCAAGGGATTCTCCTAGTCTGGATTGTGGTCTAGGTGAAAATTAAGCTATTTGTACGAGTTTTGTTGTTTGTGTAGCTGAAAGAAATTGTCAAACAATGCCTATTTGTTTTGCCACATTTTGTCATATCACATCCTTTCGTTAATTTTGATCGCAAAACTGGTCGAATTAAATTCCAGTTTACTTCCAGTTTACTCAGTTCCTTGAGCTTGACTTCCCACGTTTTAAAATCAAGTTATAAAATTGAATTGCTCTGCAGTGACATTAAACTGAAAGGCTTAGTGAAGAAGTGAGAGAGCGCTGAGGTGACAAATAACCATCTGAACCTCTTAAGAACAAAGCATGTGTTGAAGGGTGGTTACCTGTGAATATCTGGATGAAGCCAAAGAGGATGATGATGATGAGAGCTAGTAATTTGGATGCTGTGAACAAGTCCTGGACCTTGGTGGCTGCTCTCACGCTGATGCAGTTCACAAACGTCAAGGAGGCTGCAACGTGTAGCGAAAGGCACAACTATGAGTAGGAATTCAGAATGAATCGTCTCCAAGTTTACCCATATGAGGAGGTAAAAATATGACTGAAAAACACATCTGAAAAGTTCAGCCTTACTCACTAAGACACACGCAGGCGATGAGCTTGGCAGCACTGTCTGGCACAGGGCAGGTTGGGTACAGGGGTTTGAGAAGGTAGGTGGCAAACACCAACGAGACCACATATTGGGACGATGGACGAATTATTAGCATCTCCACCCACAGTTTCAGAAAGGCTGCAAGTTCGCCATATACTTCAAGGATGTATGTGTAGTCTCCTCCAGACTTTGCGATGGTCGTGCCCAGCTCGGCATAGCACAAGGCTCCCATAGTGGAAACAACTCCACAGGCAGCCCAGACGATCAAGGAGAGGCCAGCAGAACCGGTCTCTTTGACCACACCTGTTGGAGTCACGAAGATGCCCGAGCCGATGATGGTGCCTATGATCATCCCCACGCCGTTGAAGAGGGTGATGCTGCGTTTGAGCTTGATCTTTTCACTCTTGCCAGGCGGGCTGTTAGTTGGGTCTGTGGCAGCAGGGGCAGAGACCATGGGGTCCGATGGGGACGCTGGGTGCTCCACAATGAGACCATCTTGGTTGGGCTCTGCTTTAGTTGCTGGTGAAGTCAAGACAGCAGAGCAGAAGACGATCAGCGATTAGAAACACATTAAAACTTTAGATTCTCAGAAGTGGAAAATGTCAATATTTTTCAATTCTGATCATTTTCTGAAGTTCCTCCTAACGTCTCAGCCTACCGTTTCTCTGCAGAGACACACGTGCACCTGCCATTTTTGTCACCTGTTAGCATCGCCACTCCCGGAAAGCACAAGCTCTGTTGTGCAGAGCTCTGCAGGCTAGAATGCCTTGCAACTGATGCAAGGCATTCTAGCCTTGCATCAGTTGCATCAGAGCGCATGATGGAATAATGCAGCTCTGCTCCATGTGCGGTCTACAGGAGTGTGAGTACAGACTGTACTTACTCTCCATCTTCTCCTGGCTCCCTGCTTTAGCAACAGTCTCCCGGCTGCTTCTCGATTTCAGCTCCGGCTCAGCCATGTTCCCTCCTTTTCCGAGTGTCTTGTCTTCTACCTCCTGTCCCTCTTTTCTTTCCCTTAGACACACTCCTGTCCTCTCTGGATTTATCTTTGCCTCTCTCTCTCATGCACATACAGACAGACTCACAATTCTCCCTCTCTCTCTCTATCACCCAGCCTAATTTGTCCTCTCACCCACTCATGCACCCGATTGTCCTCTCATTTACACTCAGTGCCACCGTCACTCAGTCTGGAATTTATCTGACCCTGATCCTCTCAGTCTCTCCCTCCCAGCATGCAGCAGGGAGGAGCTGAAACTTAGTGATGCTGCTGATGCTCGTGCCTACGCCCACTCTGCATGAATCATGGGATAGCTCAGTAAGAGAAGTGGGTTACAGGAAGGGATCATTTGGAGAGTAGAGGCACATGACTCTTTAAGCTTTTTGTTTGCTGCCCTAATCCTGTAGCAGAAGGTATGGTCCGTGTTTGTTAGCGTGTGCTCTGATGTCAGAGCTTATTAGGATGGAGGGTGCAGGGGTGGAGCGCCCTCTACTGGCGTCAGCGAGGTACAGAGTGGATCATTGTTTTCTGAGAAAGGTGAAACCATGGAAAATGGACACCCAGGGGCCATTTTCAGCTGAATAGCAATAATGATGCACTTGTTTTGTCTTCAGCGACTTAAGCTTTATTCATTAGTTTATTGTGAAAAGGAAGAAAAGTGTTCACACCTGCAGTACATTCTCAGAGCAATTACAAAACTTAAGTCATACCAACATGAACAGACACTGTCTGGGTCTAAAACTATCAGCATTTACTTAAACATACAAGGTATTTTTCTCAAAATAATGATCAAGCTCAAGGATCGACAGAAATGAGAGATGAAGTGGACTGGGACTTTTTTTTTTTTAATGATTTATTTTGACAAACAGTATGAGGATTAAAACCACAAAATTTCAGTTACTCTTCTGGATGTTGTTGCCTGAGTTGCACATCATCTTTTCAACCACAAGATGGAGACATTATACGGTTTCTAAACTTACACTTGCTTGCAAAAGTATTGAGATCTTAAGCTTTTCCCATATTTTATTTTTTATAAGATTAAAAAAAGTTTGGTGTATTCCTTCATTCATTTAAAACAGGATTATGTTATAAAACAATATTTAACAGAAGCTAATTGGAGATGAACAGGAAATGGGGACATTGACAATACTTGCCTATTTATCTCTGAAGATACTCCGTTATGTTCTAGCAACATAATGCCAAATAAATCGTTGTTGCCCACCGGCATCTTTGAAGAAAACATTTCATTTTCCTTTGAGATTAATAAAGTTTTTCAATGTAACTGACTCCAATGTTAAAGTTAGTTAGGATGTTTTTAGAGTTAATATATTTTAAATAAGAAGTTAAAAGTTTAACTTCCATATATTATCAAAATAAGTACCAATTTGAATATTTGTTTTAAAAAAACAGCAAAATTGTTATATGAATATGTTATTTTATAGGAACATGAACTGAAATATGCACTTATTAATGCCACCTAATCCCAAAAAAAAGCGTGCATTCGGAGAATGAGCCCCGTTCTGTTGAAGCGTTTCGTGCATAGTGTTTGCATTCCTCTTAACGCTGACAAATTCGACAAGCAATCCCCAAGCTCGGTTCTGATGAACGTCTTGGCTCTTACGGAGGAGCGCAAGCCGAGGCTGGATTTAACCAGGGCACTTTCTGCCACGGGTCCGGGGACTTTCCCCTGGGCAAGTATGTGAGAAACCAGGTTCTCCGTTTGTAGCCCAGATTGCAAACCTTCTGAATGCCCCGGATGAAGAAGCATGATGACGACGTTTTTATACCACACAAATCTGACTCTACTTACTATTGTGGTTTCACTCAATTTTTTTTATTGTACTGTTCTGTTATGTTGATATAATACAAGAGGTTACTTGCTATATCTTTAAAGACAGCAATGTTTTTCAGTACAAAAATACGAACAAACTAGCTGATATCCGTGAGGCATCATGGGAACTGTGACGTTTCCGTGGTTTCATCATACAAAGCAAACACACGAAGCATAACCGAGAACGCCGCCAACATATTGTGAGTGGCGTTTTTTCTCGTTTAAGATGATTCTGTTTTGTTTTTATTACCTTTGATCATCCAAGTAAATGTCATTAAAACATATATTCTCAGTTTCAAGAGCTAACTTTAGCACAAGGGGATGATGCTGTGAGGCATTAGTTATTCTGTTAGGAAGAAACTATATAAATTAGGAACCAAGGAAAACAACCCAAATATTTGGAAGCAACTTCAGCTTATTAACTAAATGCAGTATATTTAATCTAACTAAATCCACAAAATTTAGGTGGTTTTAGAAGTCATTGAACTTGTTTGCATTTTAATTCACTGATATATGACTATTATTAAGACTTAATACATAACAAAAGTATTAAATCTTAATAGTAAGGCATAGTAATGTTTATTTTAAAAAAAATGAACGTGACCCGTGGTGTATCTGTTGTTAAAGCTTGCCACTCACAACATGGCGGACGAAGTGACGTACCTTTTTTACTGTACAATGAAGCCAATGCGGTGTCTACTCAGTTACCATGCTGGTTTTCTTCCTTTCATTAGATATGAATAGTCCACAGTGTATGGTTCAATGGTGCTCCACAATAGCTATGGTGAGTCGTGAACAATTTAGTTTAGGCAGGTTACTCGTCTATGACCCGGTTTTTCGCTCCCAGCATGCATTGCTGTACATAAAATCTCAGAAATATTTATCTTTTTGAGTGTTACTGACTTATAAAGCAAGAACAAGGTAGGTGTACTGTCTCTATTACAATATGTTAAATATTTGTCTTTCCTGACACATTGTGTTTTAAAATCGGTTTTGCACCATAATCATATCTTCTTTGCAAAATCAGGGTTATATAGCCGAAGAATCTTCCCCTCACTTCCTGGTGTGGGAGGAAGCTCATTGTAGAGGTCACAAACTGAGTGCTCGTCACTCCACCAATCACCTCGGGGAAGGTCTGAGACAAGAGCCAATGGTTACCCTTGCAGGGTATCACCTGACAAAGGTGAGCGAGTGAACAGAAATAATTGAGCAGCGCTTGCATGTCTCACAGGAGAAGCCAGGGGGAGCAATTTCTCAGCTCGCCTGGTGGATGTGGTGTTAGTCGCGGCTTGGAATCACTCGCGGCTGGCGAATGAGTGCGATGTATGAGGTGGGGCAAAGCTCCAGAACCCAATTCAGACTACTCTCCCCCCACACCTTTTATAATAATATATTTTTTTTATTTTGCATGATAATGAACATGAATAAAATGGATATCATCAATATTTTATAGGACCAACCAGCACCAAGTAGCACTTGGGTGTATTTTCTACATTTCACATCTAGAAACTGATTTATTTATATCTATCAACTCTCAGCTACCTGCAGACCTCCAGCAATTTTATTGATGGCTACAAGATAATTGTTGAAATGCTGAAATGTTTACTCCAAATTTGTTTACATAAGATCTTCTGTTTGAAGTAACTTTTTCAGAATCTAGTAGTTAATATTGAAACAGACAAAGAAAAATATTGAGTTATTTGCAAATTCTGTTGTTTTAAAGATGCAATAGAGAATAAATATTACAAATGAAATGACACAATTATAAAATAATACAACTGCATGTCATGACAGTTTTCCAGATATTTCTATTTTTTTATTTAAACCTTTTTAAACTCATAAATACATAATCTCACTGTCTGTATTACTCTATATTTGACTTCATGACTTCTGCTCGTGTTTTCTTCTCCTCACCTAAACTTTTTCTATCATGGTTTCTCTTCCCATCAAAGAAAAAAACATTTTTTTTCACCACCCACTGACATTTCTTTCTGTTTCATGTTTCTTTTCATAATTCCTTTCATTACACCCTCCTCTCCAACAGAACCTCTCTCACATTTCATGCTGATTCCCCTTTTGCTTCTAGAAGACGGTCAATGATTAGAAGCTGGCATGTAAACCTCCTAAGAAAACAGGAAACGTAAAATTTGTTTGTGCTGAATATGTCAACTTGAATTTATTCAGATCTGTCCCTTTGGCATGGAGGAAAACCTCTCAAAGAAATCCTCTATTATTTTTCTTCTTGTGTCATTTGGAGCTGGTGCTGCATTGTAAGTGTGGCCCATGAAAGCACACAGTTGATAAGACTCAGCAAACGCCTTCGAATACCAGAAACACATTTTCTACCTCAGGCTGTCACTAATCCCTCATTGATCAAATATAAACCTAAATTAGCTTTGGAAAATACGCATATACCTCCTCCGTTTCTCCACCACGGCTTATTGCAGTTTTAGCTGCTGGTGCGTGACCATGGCAATGTGTGTGTTCACTTGTAGAGAATCAGAGCAAATGCTTTCCACTTGAGTTTGCTTGCTTTCAACATCAATACTCCCTGACAGATGACCTCAATTTCCCTGCTGCACACGGCCTCTTCACACACGGCTTCTTGTTGTTTAGATTGTTTTGCTCCCAAGCCAATCAAACACGTCTCACCTCGTCTGACCCTTTCAGCAGTCTACGCCATCACACGGAGGAACTCCAAGCATTGAAATGTTACCACCCCAACCCACTGATGTCATATCGATGTGTACAGCAGCACATTTCAGGAGCTCACAGACATTCATCATCAGCTTAGAAATCATGTTAATCTTTAGATTTTAGTTGCTTCATTTTTCACAGAGTGGACGGAAAAAACAAAGCGCAAGTTTCATGACACAAAAAACAGAAGTTGCTGGAAATGTTCTCTAACGCATACAAAGTCTGAATTATAGATACTTGCTCAAATATGTGCCGTTTCAGTGGCATCAACACCTTCGTCTTCCAGGAACTGGCCTGCATGCTCTCACCACATGAAGGTGAACATGTTGAGCACGGGGAGGACAGGACCCACTCCACCTGCTCTTGGTCTGTCAGGGTGCTGTTGCCAAGCATGTAGAGAGCTGTGCATGTGTGTGTGTGTGTGTGCGTGCGTGCGTGCGTGCGTGCGTGCGTGCGTGCGTGTGTGTGTGTGTGTGTGTGCGTTCCTGCGTGGATATGCCTCCTCAGATTGTGACTCACTCACCACCAAACCGGTCATGAATGATGATTCAAGCAGCATAATGATCTCTGTCACTGCACCAGACCATTTCACATCAGTTGCATGTGAGCGGGGTAAACCTGCTCTAAACTGTGAAAAAGGCCGGACATAAGCAGCGAAGATGGGTTTCCATGGTAAATACGAATCCAGTTCCACTGTGTTGAGCAGAAACCTGTGTTTTTTGAGTGTGAGGTCAGACATTCAGGACTGCTGGAGGTCGTTTTGTAGGCCGGCAGTGACAGCGCTCTGCAGCCCGTCTCCTGGAATCTATTCCATGCTGGGAGACGCAGCAAACCTCCTGGAAATGGAAACAGTTTTGTGAAATCCTGGAAGACCTGT